AACGGACGTAAAAGAAAGTAAAATTCGGGGGGAATTTTCGTTGTAATGAGATTTGGTGCAAACTTGGAGGGCCCACACCGATTCCATTTGCGTTCCTCCCTTAATACAAATGACTCGTTACGCGTTACGAATCTGCACAAACCGGTAGAAATATAAATGTATATTTACGTAATTTCGGCGTAATACAATTTTCGAGCGAACAAAAAATAATAATAATGTAGCTTAAATTCAAATCCCTTCGTCCAATTTAAATTTTCAATTAAATGTAGATGAATGAAACTGTAATAATACTTTTAATGAATGTCCTAATTGTGAGTATTATGATTTACAGGTACATTTATTTTATTTTAAATTATATAATTCAATATTATAAATACTGCGTAATAGATTTATATTATCTTTTTCTAATGAATAGTTTAAAATTTTAGTGATTTACAATTTCAGAAGGTTTTCCTACAAAGTATATTCTATATTTTTTACTAGTATTTTTAAATTATTATAGAAAACAATTAAGAAACTTTTAAAATCGTACAATTTCTCCTATTTTTGTTGTTGTATTTTAATTGTTATAATTTACAGGTGGGTACTTATGCGGTTAATGAGAGCCACAATTCGGTTTATCATATATTAAAGAGCCACACCATAGTTATGTAGTAGTAAATACACTAATTTAAAATGTCAACGGGAGCCTCACTTAACTCAACGAAGAGTCGCATTTATGAAAAAATGAGATCTTCAATATAAATCTTACGGATTAAAAATATTGTTATGGACAAATTCAAGTTTTAGTTTACATTGACAGTTTAAGTGATATAATCATAATTTTGAATATTGAAAAAAAAAATAGTAAAAATAGTCTAATAATTGTATTGACTAAAATACAGATTTGTTTAGTTTTACTTTTGGTTCAATTTATTTTGTAAATCAAATTGTTATTCCTTGTATATAATTGTAAAAAAACTGTCAAAAGTCAATAATGAAGGTTGCAAAATAATTGAGTAATGTTTGCAGATCTCCCAAGAAGTTGAGGTAATTAATTTAAAAATATTCTTTAATTTCACTTCACTCAGTTTGTTTTCAATTGGTTTAAAAAATGTAAAAATAATGTAAATTTTGTTTAATTTCCTGTAATATGTAATCTATCTAAGCGTAAATTCCAATTAACTAAAATAATAGTAATTTGATCTACAAAGGGTCAACGTTATTGAAATGGTCAGACACATGTAATGTAATCCAGGTGATTTTTCTGTTGGTATACGTGTTGTAATCTATCGATTATCCAGCTTTCAGTAGTGGGTCACGTTTCTGTCTGCTTTTCCCCCATTCGGATTTGATCCCCCAGGGAGTCGCGTTTACAGTTGGGGTCCGTTGCAGCGGCAACGTTCAAAAAAGAACACAGCAGGGCCCTTCAGATCTGAAGCTTCCAATGCCCTCCTACACATACACATCATACCGTGTACCCTTTCAAGTTCCCCGGAATGTTGACCTTCGCAAAAGCCAAACGGACTTAATTAAATTAATGGACATGCAGAGGATCCGCGTTTTCCCTCCTCATTCATCCATCCTTCCCAGAGATGTGAAACCGAAACGATAATTATTTTCGAGGTAGTTAAAAGTTTTCTTCTGCGGATTGTAATGGATACCAGAGACTGCCGTCTCCATGACACGAGAAGTAATCTAAAACTGGCGGCTTTAATAGCTCGGAGCACTTAGACAAAACCTCATAATTTCTTCCTGCTTGTTTCTCTCCTGGAATTACGGCCGTTTCGTTGCTTGAGAGGGGTTGCGAAACGAAGGGGGTGCCAAGTGAGACGTCTTGACAATAAAACAACTTCAATGGGTTTCACCCTCCTCCGACGGACTACAATAAAATGGGAATTGTTGCCGGGAAGCCTCAGAAACACATGCTCTTACACTATAATCGCAGCTCCAAACAAATGCCGATTATGTTTGTTGAACAGTATAATTTCTATGCAATTATTCAATTGTTAAGACTTTTTATATTATTTCTTAAATAAAAAAATATTTTCATTAGCAAACATATTAACATAAATATTTCATAATACGTTTAGGTCTGGCTTGTTCAACTTGTGGCCCAAAATAGCTATGAATTGGGTCCAACAAAAAAATCGTTAACTTACAAACTTTATGAAAATGTGTGGTCCAAAATAACATGTCCTCGTCCAATGTAGTCGGGGAAGGTAAAAGGTTGGATAAACATAGTTTAGATAATGGATCGGCAACTAACCATTGGTTAAAAATTGCTCTTCACTCTACAAAGGTTGCCGGACTATAATTAATCCATCTGATCGAAGGTATTATTGTACAAGTAAATTTCGTTGCCTTAAACAGAAAACATAATTTGAAATACTGATTTTTTTCAAAAAAACAATTTATTACTACAAATATTTAATTTACTTTTTGGACGTATTTATGAAAATATTAATTTAAAAATTGTCGAAGCAAACAAACAAAATTATTGTTTCGAAATTTTACATTTTGTTTAACTGATTATCGAGGCTTTATGTCTCAATATTTGATTTAATTAAATTTATAATTAAACGTGTCAACCAATATTTACCAAAACTTTGTGTCGGATTAAATCCGCTTTTTGTTACTCGAACGATTAAACTTTTCGGGTCTGCGTTCAACACATTCGATGATTGAAATTAATTAGTTACAAACTTGTTTACTACGTTTGGGTTGTTAACTGAAATTTGAAACTTTAATGTGTCTGTATATACAGCATTATGAGAGCACGTTATCGATTCCAACAATATACCGGACTGTTTGAAACCGGACTAATCGATGAATTATAAGATACAAAAATAAACTGCACAAAAAGAGATTTGACCAATAGGAACAATAAGTATTAAAAAAAATAACTTTTTTAGAATTTATTTTTATTTTGCTCAAATAAAATCTTGTGTATGAAATTTTCAAACCATACTATAATGAATCCAGACTGATCGAAGCCGCACTATGCGAGGTACTACTAGGATTATTAATTATTTAATAATTGCTATAATTAACTACAGTTTCGTAAAGTGATAACCTTTTTTCTTATCAAGTGGTAAAATTTTGTAAAACGAAAATCCGTAAAGGGAAACATATCTCTTTAAATATAATATGTTTTTTAACATTAAGATAATGTATTTATTTAATATAGAAACTATATAAACAAAAAAAATACAAATTAGTAATAATCATTCTTTAGTAAACCCTGAATTCAGAAAGTAAGAATAAATTCTCCAAATAATATAATGTTTTATTAATTGCATAAAGTCAAAGCTCTTTCCAAAGTGTTACCAATATACAAATTCGTACAGTGAAAATGATTTATTTGAGTAGTTACGATATAAAAATCGCTAATTGAAAATTCTTAAAGCGATTTTTATTATTAAATACAACATGGCAACATTCAAAAGTTGGATAAATTTGTAATGTGAAAATTCGTAAAGTGAAAATTTGAATAGCTTTACCTATTACGTATCAAAATCGCCAAATCTAAATTTATTCAAACGAAACTTATTTAATTAAGTACAATCTGTCAACATACAGAAGTAGTTGTTAAATTTCTAAATCGAAAAATCGTATAATGAAAATATTTTTAAATATAACATGTTTTAGCAAGTAAATTTATATATTTGTTTAATATAAGAATGTTATTAGAAAAAGTACAACCAAAAATATAAAGTCTTAATGAATACAAAAACTTATTCATACAAAGATTTTCAAAGGGTGTGCCGCGATTCAATAATTTTATAATGCATTCAAAAGTGCTTAACCATCCGTTACTCGCGCGGCGTCTGTGAGACTTAAGTGGGTAGAAACCAACCACAAATTGAAAAATGCTTGAGGATCATTTATGTATTTATTTTAATATATTTATTGTAGTTATATATGTATTAATAAAAATATAATAGAGCATTTGCGGTTACAAAGAAAGGAATGTAATTTGTTATTACTTAATTTAAAATATTTTAATTTTTACTAACCTGCAGATTATATTTAACGAAGATATGAAAATACTAAGAATAATATAAATGGAGAGCTAAGTTAAATATGAAATAGTTTCAAACTTTCAAGGTAGTTTACATACATGAAATTTTTCATGTCTGTGATAATATACAAAAAGATACAAAAATAATAAATTCTACCTGTAAAATTTAGTTGAAAATATATTTATAAGCTATAGAAATATTAAGCAAATAAAAATTTAAGAATTAAATTTTCATATTATAAAAGAAATAGTAAATCTTCAAAGATATTAGACTTTAAAGTTTTATATTGAAATGAAAGTTTATTATACAAATTATAAGAGAATATAAATTGATTATACATTTAGGTTAAGGAAAGTAAAGAAATATATATATTTTTGTTAACAATTATATTTATGTTTATTTTCTTCTCGAGACCTACACATCTTTAGATCCCACATATATAATTTTTAATATAATATATTCATAAAGAATATCGTAAATAGTACACGCCTACAAATAGATGACGTTCCAAATTTCCTTACATAATTCGTAACGATGTTCTAATTAAATTACTTGTCTAATAATATATTTTTTTAAATTTATATTATTAACATTTTGTGCGATAAGAATTTTGGAACGTCAACCTGTCAATACGCGGACAACAATGAAAAGTACTTAATTAACCTGTAATAACAGCATCCCATTTGCCCCCTTACACAATAATAAATACCAACTAAATTGCACTCAAGTTTCCCAGTCACCTGCAACGATTAGAACATTTACGTTATATAATATGTCTTTTTTTAAATGTGTTTTACATGTAGAATATTCTAAAAGCTACGAATCAAACATTGAATCTACCTATTCAATTACGCCTTAATTACTAAAACAAAATATATTTCAATTATCTACTTAAGACGAATATGCGCGCGCACACACAAGATACACAAGTAATAAACTATCAGTACTTTACAAAACTATCGAAAATCAATGATATACATTTATATTTTTTTTTCCTTTTTTTTGGTTTGGTTTGAAATGAAAGGAAGAATGTTTACACAGCAAATGCACTTTAATTGTTTTGTGCCCTGATAAGATATGTATCTGTTACAATTTTGTTTCTTTGATATGCTTACTTAGGCTACTTACTTTAGGTTACAGCTAAACATTAATATTATATAGACAGGCACCGTGTCAGTTAGGGCACAATAATTAATTTTGAATTCCCTTTGGATCTTAGTTTCGATGTTAATAATATCTTCTTTTTTTTTTGGTCTTAAAACGAAGAAATTAGTATTAGAACATGAAGTATTAATTACATTTAAAGTTTTATTGCTTTTCAGATTATAGTTTTTTTTTTGTTAATTATATATTTTAAGGTTATAGGATACATTAAGATTACCTTCAATTTGTGCAAACACCTAAGCGATTTTAATTATTTTGGATTTTATTTTAAATTCTCTCAAGTTATTTATATTGATTTGTTATATAGAGTTTAATGGAATTTTGGGGGATACTATTTTCATCGATTTTCAAATCCTATACACAGCGTGAGCAATACTTCTGGTTTCTTTCCAAACGTATGTATACTAACAGCAACTTAATTATTTTTTTTTAATATATATTTTTTGTTCATTTTTTTCCACGTATATGTCGTGTTATATATTTTTTTTTAATATGTTATTACATTGAATTTGTACAACTAGTTAAATTGACGCTATCGAGTCGAGAGATGTATCTGAATAAAATCCAACTTAAGTATATATCTAATTACTTTCTTAACTATAGATCAAAGGACAAAGGGCCGATGCAAACTACATACTAGATATGGTGTATCTTAAATAGTAAATTATTAACTAGAATATACCTACTTGGCCGTGGACGACCTATCACGTTGTAACAAGCGAATCATTCGATTCTGATATGTATACGATCTTAGTTGATATACTTAATATATAGATAATGTTTGAAATTAATAATAAAATTTGTAACTGAAATTGATATTTAAGTCTAGATTAAATATAGATATTCTTTTCTTTAGTAATCTTAGGCGATATGTACAGTGCCACAGGAACAAGTGGTGTGATATATATACACAATCTTGGAAAATAACTATTTGAAAGGGCACTAACACGAATTTACAATATACACACATATAATAATTTAAAAGCCCTGTCTGAAAGGGTTGCGACCAGCCATGCTCGGTTGTGGCTGTTCTTGAGGTTGCCTGAAGGGATTCGGATTGGAATCCGGCTGATCCGGTAGAGATCTACCGGTTGATCTATTGGTTTGATAGTTATTTTCTTGATATTGATAACCTTGTTGCTGAGGTTGCTGCTGCTGATAACCTTGATAATTGTAATCTTGTTGATAGTTGTTCGAATCAATATTGGTTTCCTGCTGTTTATATTCAAGGTGGTTTTGTATCTCCTCGGTGACCGGTTTCTGATCTTGCATGCTGTAGGTTTGATACTCTTTGTTTGGTGGATCTGACATGAGAACGTTGGCTTCGTTCTCGAAAGGTTTGAAATCGTAAATGTGTCTTAGGTACACCAATACAGGTGCGTAGAGTAAGTTAGAAAATGCTATGCCTACGTTTAGTGCCGTGAAGCCTATTGCCTCGACGACCCCGCCTGCTATAATGGGGCCAATTGCGTAAGCCACTGAATATGAGATGTCGGCGATGGCGTAGATGCTTCCGTAGATGGACACGTAACGAACATCTACTAAGTAGCCGAGCATCGGAAGAAGTGCCGTATCGATTAAGGCAATTCCGAAGCAAATGCCGCATATAGGGATCATGAGCAACTTGTAGGAGGTTGCGAACGGTATTATGAAGCAGCAGAGACCTTCGAGGGCCAAGCCTCCGGCGGCCATGAGCCATTGGTATTGTGGATACTTTTTGGCCATTTTTACGGTGAGGATGACGCCGAATACGTGAGGGAAGAACGCGGGTAGCCAGATCATTCCGATCTTCCAATTCTCTGTTGTCAGATTGTCTTCCATCCAAAGAGAGATGGTTGGCTCTAAGAATGCGAGTGCCACGTTCGACATCATCAAAGCTCCTGCACATACTGCGATGTAGGGGTCCATGAATAGGCGCCAGATCGGAACGGAAGGTGGTTTGGCCATTTGGGATTCTTTGATCTGCGTCTTCAAAGGTTTCATGACGAGCAGCAGCATGAAACCGTCGGCCAGGGAGACGAAGGCCAGGATCAGGAACGGCACCTCCTTGCCGGCGAATTGGTAGAGGGCGCCGCCGAAGGGTGGAGCGACCAGACATCCGAAACTGATGAAGGCCAGGGCTATGCCCAAGGCCTTCGATCGTTCGTTTTCTTCCGTGAAACGATCCGCTATCATCGCTAGACCTGCAGTGTCTGCAAATGCCGAGCCTACGCCTTGAAGGCTGCGGGCGAAGAACAGGAGGCCGTAGCTGCGGCCACAGGCGAACACTGCCGTCGATAGGAACATGATGGTCAGACCTATCATCATCGGCATGTCGTAGCCAATGCGGTCTATCAGCGCCCCCGAGAAGGGGTTCACCATCAGTTGGACGATGGCTTTGGAAGCGAAGAGGATGCCGGTAGCCGAGTCCTGGCCGTGATGGTCGTGCTTCACCGGCATCCCGGGCGGAACCGTTACGTTTCCCGGAAGAGGTTCATCTTTGTATGCGCCGATATATCTTAAGTAATCGGGTATGATCGGTACTATCACCATGTACAGCATGTTGTCCAGGAGCAACGCTATCGATACGATCACCAAGATCAGCTTGCGCTGCGTCTTCGGCTCCTGCACCTTGTTCCACACAACCTCCTTCAGCTCTCTGTACTCCATGTTGATTATCGGAATCGTCGTCATGGTTAAGGACGTGTCTTTCTCTCTCTCTCGCCCGGACAAAACGTTTCTTAGGGTGCGGGGTAGCGCAGTGCCATCGGGTTAACCTGGACACAGAGACAAGCATTAGACACTGAGCAGAGGCTCGGGAGGGGAGGCACTGCGCTCATTTCCCCCCCGCACCCCAAATAATACCGACATATAAATATAACATTAACAAAATAAAATAAAAAGTTAAAAAACAAAAAAAATCAAATATAAACCAAACGCAAATATTAAATTATACTTATTATCTGAATAGGTGTATGCTAATAATACAAGAACTCCTATCGATTGCCGCCATTTTGTTCACGCGGCCATTTTGTTTGAAATCAATAATCTCAACTTCTTTTCATGACATATATAAATGTTACATAATAAATTCAGTTGGTTCAAAGTACATGCATCAATAATGTTAAAAGTACGAAAAGGTTATTTACCTGTGTCAGGAAGTGCGCTGCCGATTCGATTGGCAAAGAATCCGCGTATGTTGGTGGCGACGCGCGATTCACCGAGTAGGCTGAGGGTGCCTCCCGGGCCGTTTTGCGCCCCGCGGTTATCCACGGTGCCGCTGTCCAGGTGCACTTTTGCCGCTCACTCCCGCGCTACTCTAATGTGTGACCACTTCGTTCGGCAGCAGGCCACGCTCTCAGGCAGGATGGCAGGACCCGCAGGATCCGCAGGGGCGGATCGGGCACGCGCCCTTCGTCCTTGTTCCTCCATTGGATGCGTTTCCCAGACGTCACCACCCTTGGGACCAATCAACTTCCATCGAAAATCCCCTCCTACGACGGCAAACATTTCCTCTGCACATTATACAAACACCGGTGAAAAGAAAATTCATCGCAAGACACAAAAATATTATTATTTAATCAATATAGGAACGACCGAATACAACCAAAACGCGTATAATTGGAAATACAATTAAAAAACGCTGATATACCATTTGATGACCAATAATTAATGATTGAAAAGAATATACCAATTAAGTTTATCGGAGATTTTACAAAAAATTATAGGTTAGGTTAGTTACTTACACTAATTTTATATTATTTGAAATTTTCGAATACTTACATTTCTGTATAAATTATATTCAAACATATAAAATCAACATAAATACTTTAAAAGTCTATTTGCGGACTTTTTAAGTATTTATACCGGTAATTTATTATGATATACATTTATTTGCAGAAGGAAAGATAATTTAATACTTGATATTAGTTAAATATTTTATAATTTAAAAATATATCAGAAAAATGATATTATTAATTTTTAAATAATTTATACTAATACTTTAATAATTAATAACAATTAGAACAGAACATAATATTCAGAAAGGGTTCAAATTTAATATAATATAAAGTAATTTGCATTTGGAAAGGTAATTCAATATTTATGAAGTCAAATGTAGTTCTGAAATCAATTTGCATTTTAAATATTCGCAACTCCGTGAAATCAAATATTTATATTTTCTCGCATTCATAATGTATGAAGCGAAAATTTAACGATTCTAAAAATAAAAACGTCTTAGCTGGAAATATATATATATGAAATATACATTTATAAAAAGAAGTATTCGCAGAATGTTCAACATCAAAGAGCATTTGCTATTTGCCCGGCGCCTCCACTTTTATTGATCCAAATACAAATCCAATGTAAGAACTATATTTAGATAATCATTGATTTTTATATTAAGTAAAGGAAATTGTATAATAATTACATATTTTATTATTTAGTTTTTTTTGTAGTTATATTTTGAGAAAATATTTATTGGCGTTCATAAAAATATTTATAAAAATTGTAATGTTTCTTTTTTATAATGTAACATATTTAAATATAAATATTTATACGTGCTTAATCCGTATTCATATTTTCCTTTTAATTAAAATCTTTGTTCGGCAAAGTATTATAATGAAGTAAACTTTGTTATTTTCTCTTTGTTAAACTAATATAATCTGCATATATGCAAACAACTAACTTAATTAAAATAAGAACTTTGAAACTTTATAATTATTATTTGTACTAAAAACATGCAATTAGTTGTGATAAAACTAATATAGAGTGAATAATTTAACAGTTTCAAATGTATTACATTTTATATATTCATCAACATTTATTTTGAATTGAGTTATAGCAAATAAAACCCAATTTTAATTAATTTTAATAAATCAAAACCCGACGCTTCCACCATTAATATTAATAGAAATATAATAATAATAATGTTTATTGCATCAGTCGTACAAAAAAACATATACAGAAATAAAAAGATCAAAATAAATATATATAATTTCAAAAAAGTTAATTGATACAAAGGGCTATTGACCATAGGTCTTTCTGCGTCGGGAATTTTATATACAATCATATTTATGATTCTTTCATTCTTCACTAGTTTTGGAATAAAACTACATTTCAAATATTTGTTACTGGGAGCCGCACTTTTCAATCAAAAGAGCTCATTTCCTCTCCGGAGCCGCAGTTTGCCGACCCCTGGCATAGAAGATTTAATATTAAATAAATTATTAACAAATAATTAAGCAACACTTCGGACAACGAACATTTTTACAAAATATCAACACATTTTCGATGTGGAAACTAACGCGGTTAACGAACAATTCGGGTTGAGAATGTCGTATTTGAACGAACTGTGTTCGTTAACCGAATTCGTCAACTCAAATATTATACATTGCCTAATTTACAAGCTGTGAAACAATCATCAATATGACAAAGCCATCTCGATATTCAATGTATTCAAATATTTGAGGTTCAATGATTTCCATGGGATCCAAATATACCATAGATTACAGGCAAATATGGATCGAATATCGGTGAGCACTTCAATGAATAAATAACGAAATTTCATTTACAACTAGGATGTGTTTGTTCCAACATAATAATAATAATTTGGGGCATTGAATCGATAAATATAACAGAACAGTACAGTCTGATGCATTAATAAGCAATAAACTTGCAGGTTTGATCGGTCGGAATTTAATGGCCGGAAAATATTAATACCGCAAATGCAACGCTAATATAACGTTCGATATGAATATTCAATGAAATTTCATATGCAAATGCACGTTTTTATTTGCACCGTTGAATTACCTAATTTTGCCCGTTATTATAACGAGCCTTCACAAACTATAGAATTTGTTTAGTATATTAAAAGTTATGTTTTTATTACATTTAGAATTTTGTTTAAACAAAAATTAAAAAAAAACACAAAAAAAAAAGACAAACGTATTTTTCCACATGATAATAATGAGTCATAATTTACAGCTATAGTGCGGTTTTTCCAATATCCGGGACTGTTTGAAACTGCAATGAAAGACTATGATAAAATACGATAGTTTATGTATAAGAAAATAATTTAATATACTATTTTTTTATAATTTTTTATTTTGTCAAGTGAATACGGACAAATGGAAGCGATATTGCTGTATTAATTATTAACAGCAAAGTTTTTAAATAGACTGATTATTGATGTGAAGTATCCTTGTCCTGATAACTATTGTGTATTTTGTGAAACGTCACCTTAATTGACATTTCGATGGGTTAAATGTCAGTCTTCATTTATAAAACTTTACCGAACAGTGTTAGTCAGTTAAGAGAGTTGATTGGTGGACAGAGTAAATTATATCAGATATTTTGAATATCGATGTTAATTCTATACCATTTTCTAAATAATCTATATATAATAATATAAGTAGATAATAGATATTTTTTATCATTTCTGTACTTCTCAAAATAAAAATACTCTACGTAACACCATTTAATAAGTTCGTAGAATGTTCGTATAGATAGCGCCTCTATCAATAAATCCATATGTTTTTTTTAAGAAGCAACAACCTTCAAACAACGCCTATCAAAATTTCATCGCAATCTGACATTTAGCTCATAAGTTACAGTCGTTTTAGTGACACTACTTTCGTAATTTTCATAACTTTTGAATAATCTGAATTTCGTGTGCTGATAGAACATTGGTAGTACATGCAAATACTACCTTCTGAACATGCCTAGTGGGGCATTATTATAATTTTCTAGGAAATGTCCAGGAATTATCCTTTAATTTGGTTGGTTTGTCAAGAGATGAATTTGGATATACCATACCATTAATTCAGTTTACGTAATTGTCTAATTTATTTGTCTAGAAATGCACAACTTTATAATTGTTAGAATATTGTTACAATTTCAAATATTCAATATTTCTGATACTTGAAAGTGACAATAATTCATAATATTTTGTTATCATTCAAACAATATTTCATGGTAAATATTGGAAAGTAGACATTCGGAATATTTTTGTTATTTTATATTAAAAATTAGCAAAACTTATTTATTTTACTTTTAGTTTGTTTGCAAAAAAAATGTATATTATTTTATATGAAAATATTTATTTTATAAAAAATCTTTTATAAGTAGAAAAATATTTATGAATAAATGTAATTTGAAGATTTTATTACTAAAGCAGATAGTTTCTAATTTTATTTGAATTATATTTTCTATTTTTTTTTATAAAATAGAAATAAAACTGAATTTGAATGTAAGTATATACTTTCTCTAATCTGATGTACGTTAGAAATTGACGATCTTCTTCAGTCTTTGAAGATAGGTGATCTTATCGAGGACAATTGTGTCCGTGGGTTTGTCGGATCGGTTTATGCGAGCTGTTTTGGGGCCGGTCGGAAATCCAAAGCCTCCACCCTCCGACATAATCCCATCACGTAAAACAATTGCGTCATGATATGGTCGGTTCCGCCAATGTTCTGGGCCCTGCGCGAAGAAACTGTTGGCCCGTGCCGATGGTGCCACGATCAATGGCCAAGTGCCGAGGCCTCCGCTTCTATTTATACCTCAGCTTCAGAGGTTGTCTTTCCAAAAGGAATTCGCACCGTTACGTTACGTTGCGGTTACGTAACTCATTGATTGGCGTTCACGAAGTTCCACATACGGACTACTCACACACTAATTAGTCTCTTACAACATGCAAGAAAACAAGAACACCTTTTTTCGAGTTATTAATGGATTGTTTCAATCATCGTTTGCGGATCGCAAAAGGTGACGAATGATTGGAGGATTGGAACGTCGTGACTCGACGTTTCTAGTGGACTTACATTGTCTCGCTAATAGCAATTTTCTTCAATATGCTCGTAATTATTTTCTACATTTGTATCCTATTTTAAGTACATCTACCCTTTGCATGTTTACATCCTTGATTTTCATACAATGTAAATCAAAACGTACATAATGCCTCTATAAATCATTTTTTATACAACAATAATCCTCTTAAAAAATTCCTAGCATTGACGCTCATAGTACTTAAAATCTTATGCATTTTATGAATTTATAAAAGTGATGTAAGTACATTATTTGTGTTTACGGTTTCGTGTTTTTATATTCATAAATAATGTATTTTATTTAATATATACTTTAGATTTCGTTTAGATTTATGTAATAGAATAAATACCAGTTTTAACATCAAAGTGGTTGAAAAACTACGTTGTTCAATATTAAGTAAGCTTTTTTGTATA